GTCATGTCTTAAACAAAAAGATTTGATTTGACATAATAGGGTTCAATATGTAGTCTCATTTTTAGCCCAACATGCATTTATTTATTTATTTTTATTATGATGAGGGACCTGCAGCCGCTACTCTTTGAGTGCGCACTGGGTAAACACTCGAACTGACGTAATAGCCTGCAAACCACGTCAGCTAGGTAAACTGCACTAGGCAAACATTGTGCGACAGGTTCGACCAAGAAAGTATTGGTAGGAGGAATCGAACTCTTGACCAAAGGTTTCCGCGCTCACCTACTCCACCAACTCAGTCACCCCATGTAGGGCGCCCAACATGCATTTTCGAATAATACTTTGATGGTGAATATGTGATTAAAAAATAAGGAAAAATTTTGAAATTGAAGAATGTGAGATTGAAAATATGAGAGAGAAAAATATGTTTTGAAAATAATGAGGACCAAACAAGAACTTAATTAGTTAAATAAAATCAGACTAATCTAGGTTAGAGCCATATTTTAGTAAGCTTCCTCACTCTACAACACATATTCTTGTCTTCCCCCACTTTTTCGATTTCATTACGAGATGATTCTTTTATGGGTGGGCATGTAAGATTACTTATGAAACAACACTCTTTACGAAAGAATCCCTTCATAAAAGAAATCGTTGAATTGCGGAATTAATACGCCCAGGCACATGGTAGAGATTCTTTAAAATGACACTGTAGCGATCAGGATGTACCGTGACTTGGTAGTGCCTTCGAGGGTCACCACCTGATCTCAATTATGAAATCTTGATGCATGTCGGATTAAATAGTACATGCACGTTATATTTAGTTTCGAGGAAAATTTATATATAAATGTCAAAAATTTAGGTTGTGCTTAATTAATTATCTAGGACTTTCAACATGTCAGGGAATTATTTCCCCTACCATTTGACATCTGAAATAAACAATCTGTTCATTTTCCAATACTTAGGGCCCGTTTGGTAAGGATTTTAAGAATTGATTTTTTGACCGTTAGAAGAAAAGTGGGGTCCACATGTGAGAGAAGAAGTCAAAAATTACGGCTTGAATAGTAAAATAACGGTCAAAAAATCAATTTTTTGGGGCAAAAAATTCCTACCAAACGGGACCTTAGGCTTGATAGGCATCACTTGCAACTTCATTGTGAATCTTGATCCACCTGCAAATCAAGATTTCTATGACTAATTAAGATCATTAAGTAGGCAAGACAAATATATGTTCACATGCTCACCAAATTTTGTCTAATTAATTAAGCAGAATCCTGATTATTAATCAAGCTTAGTGAAAAATCAAGAAAATTATTAATCATGCTTAGAAGATTTGTTTTAATAACTGATTCTTGTGTTATGTGAAAATATAAGTTTAAATAAATTAATTAAAAGATGACAGGCATTACTTTTTCATTTTCCATTTTTCTTACATATAATCTCCATAATCTTATATTAAGGTTAAGATCTAAAAGCATGCCCAGGAAGTCTTTATAATTAATTTGATTTATAAATAACTCAAAATGAAGGATAAATAAGTGAATAATAATTATGGATCTTACTATATGTGTAGATAAAAGTTGTTTGAGGTTTTATAAACACGTGAATAAAAAATTGTTTGAGTATTTATGAAAATAAAATTTTATTCTTCTTTTGTCCATTACGAGAAAGATAAAGTCGATAATAATAAACAATAGGTGTAAAAACAAGGGGGATTATCTTAATAGTTAATAGTTGTACTCCATTTTTGTACATTGATTTTAAAAATAATTTTTTTAATAACTACCAAATTTTCTACACATAGGAGATGTCAAATTTGATGTTAACAATTGATGTACAAAATGCATAATTCATTGTATTAAGCCTTATTTCGCCTAATTTATTTTTTCTTTTTAAATTCATATTTAATAATATATTTTTTAATAAAATAATTTTACACGACGACTCAAAAAATTTTAATAATATATTCTTTAAATTAAAATCACTTTTCATAAAATTTATTCTCCCCATTTGGTGCTACTAAATATCAAGATTTTAAATTAAGTCAAAGTAAACAATTAATTTTAATATACATTTTATGGAATCCACAATTTTTCAATTATATATTTCACCAACTTTTATTAAAATCTACTAAAAGTTTGATTTTAATTCTCACTAAACAGTGGCTTCAAGCACAGGCTAAATCAAGCTTGCTACCAAATAAAAGAAACTAAAAAATGAAGTTACCTTTTGAAATTAATTGAGGAACGAGGAAATTGAGAGAGGATATGCCTATTATTTCTGCAATCTGCCTTTTTTAATTCTCACTTTTATTTAGTCATACATAAAAAAATGTACAAAAATAGATATCCACATATCAAATACAAATATAAATATATAATACGTTCAAACCATTCAAAAATCGACCAAATTAACATATATACTTTCTCTAGACAGTCTTGTCCATGACAGTCCCTCTTCTCTCTCTCTCTATATCATCTTTGTTTGAACAACTTCATTACCAGAGGAATCAAGTTTGAGTTCTTAACAGTTAGAGGTTAGTTTCCATTTACTCTTAAATTCTGTTTTCCTTTAAATGTACGTATGAAGTGTGCATGCCCTCGATTATGCTCAGTTTCTTTGTCATAAACTTGCTATGAATCTTCTATCTTTTCGTCAAAATTGATTTCTTGAAGATGTTCTTTAACTTTGGTCGTTAAATTCTTAAAGAGAGGGACAGATACATGCTAGAAACATAGCTTTAAGCCCCTGTTTGACAATCATTATTTGGATAAAATGGAGTTTTGAATAATGAATTTTTTTTTTTGAAGAATGGTTAAAAAGTAAGAAAAGTTTTGATTTATATATATAATATTTTATTGTGTGAATATCTGGTTGAAAAATTATTACATAGAAAAATGAATTTTAAATTAATGATTATCAGAAAGGGGCTAAAAGCAAGTATTATGTGCATTAGTTCCCTTCATTTTTCTTTGGTGCTATGTTCATGTCTTTTTGGAACGCAAGTGAAGTTGATGAGTGGCTTAGTAGATGAAGTCTTTGTTCATCCTTCAATATGGTTCTCTCGGAATTTAGAAGAATGGGTGAAATTTCTTTGCTAAATAGTTAGGGTAAGCACTCTTACCAAAAAAATATTCGAGATGTCCGATGACTAGTTGATCGATTCTTGATCGACACGAGGAAGACAATCTTAAAACACTTGGTTGCTTAGGTGTACTTTCACTATTACCCTTTTACTAGTCGTTTGACAAAAATTTTGTAGATTTTGATAAAAATTGATATCTCATAAAATATATGATTAAAAAAATTGAAATTTGACCAGTTATAATCACAATTTATGTGTTAAGTCTAAAATTTCCATTGTTAAAGCGGAGGAAGAGAATTGGTGGACTCATAAAAAAGAAAAGAAAAGAAAATTGATGAAATAGGAAACCAATGCAAATAATTGAGCAATAATGATGCTATGGGTAACCCTACCTTAGTCATAATTATCCTCTTTTGGTCTGCTAATGAAATAAAACCTTCAACATCGAACCAAAATGGAAAACAAATACAAACAATGGTTTGCCCACGTCCACGTGCATATGTTTGTATTAACTTCTAATTCTTCCCCAACTTTCTTCCATGCATGATGCATCTGCATAGTTACGAAATAGAACTCTTATAACATGATGGCGAAGTTTGAATATTAATTTGAGCTCTTAAACATACTTTGTATTCTTACTTTTCGTAGAATTCAAACACTTTCTTATTCACACGTTCGATAAGATTCATCTGATAAATACTTAAAAATACCACCAAACACGTATAGGGGGAAAAATCGAAATTTTATTATAGCATCATCACTCATGACGGACAGAAGTCAGAGCCAACGGGTCGCATAGTAGATATTGTTATTCAAACCTCAAAGCTTCTCTATCAAATTGAAACTTGCAAATTTATTAGCACAAAAATATTTCCGTGATTTTTTATTTTTTTTTAAAAGAAAAAGTATTTTCGGTTTTAGAAAAAATTATTCAACTATATTTTTGATTTTTAGCATGAATTCGAGAATTTTCTCTAGAACAATTGTAGATGGTACTCTAAATTAAAAGAAAATTCATACACATTGTATGAAATCATTGAAAAGAAAAACATCGTTCCCTCTTTAGGCAAACTTGTGAATACTCAAATGCTCAAAATTATATAAATTATGATTCAAAAAATAAAAGAAAACCCTTATCTTAAATTGCGTTCATATGAAATCCTTTTTGGATTCTTTTACTATTTTCATTATACAAAATCACCCCACACTAAGTTGATAATTCGTAGTAAATGTCGTAAATTTTCTTACTTTAGTTATGAATTTGTCACGACCATCTGTATTGCAATAAAATATGGAGCGTAGTTGCTCCCAGGGCACATCTCCAAGTGGTAAAAGGGGAGGATGGAGAAATCCAACTTTACTTGAGGCTGTCGCGTCAAGGGTTCGAATCCTGAAATATGGATTTGGCTCTTGACTAAGTGCAAGTGTACAAGCAGCCTTCTACCCTATACCCTTGGAGACATAACATGCGATTTACCTTTCTCACGATGCTTCAGGGCAAGGGCGATGGAGGACCCTTAAGGTTGGGGTTCAACCTTTTTTAAATATGGAGCGTAGTTAATTTTAATAAAAGTGAAAGGTGCAATGTCATTTACAATAAGTCCAAAATGAAGAATTCAAGAAATCCACAATTAATCCCAATGGGATTCTCATATTTGTACATCTTTGGATCACACGCCAACATTTGTGTTCTATATGCATAAACCTTTTATACAAGACATTGGGGGAATATCACACACATTAATTTCTTGTTCGAGAATATATTAAAAAAAAAATTGATGATAAATTACTTAATGTTTTGTTAGTGAAGGGTTGGTTAACCTTTGCTTGTGCAAAAATTGCACAAATTGTTCTGCATTTCATCTCAATAAATTATAACTAAAGAAGTCGAATATATAAAAAAAAAAAAATGCGGGGAATATCTCAATATTACTATCTAAATTCGAATCTAATAATCTAATAAGGTTGATGACAATGTGGCGTTCATTTGTCAAGAATTGAGAAATCAATTACAACATGATTCAGCAGATAAGGTTGAAAGAACACAAATCGAATTTTCCTATTTTCAACTTCGTATAATTTTTGTCATGAATTGAGAAATCAATTACGGTACAACCATAATAAATAAAGGTGAAAGAAAACAAATCGAATTTCTCTCTTACTAACTTCGTAAAATATCCACAAGTTTTAGTTATCATTTTCCTACCTTTCTTTTCCAAATGATAGAGATGATCAATGAAGGTGCGATTGTTGGTAAGAGGTAGTTGAACGTCAAATGTTTCATAAATATAAAAAAATAAAATAAATCCTAAACAAATTCATGCAAAAGTATATTTGAATTTCGGCCCTTTTATTTATCCTTTTTATTTATTATTTTTCTTCAAATAGAAATCTTCTCCATCTTCCTCTCTCTAAAAATAGGCAACAGCTATACTACACACTACACAGAGACACTGGACCAAGACAAGTAGGCTGAAAATGGCAGCGGGCAGTCTCTTTTATCCCATAGGGTTGTAAACACAACTACTGCACAGCCTGTATTTTGCATCTTCCCCTGCATTGTTGTCTGCTTTACTGTATTGCCTGCCATTAATATTTTCAATAATTGCTTTAACTACCCGTTATTATTTTTATTATTGCAAATATGAAAAACCCATCAATGATTTTCAAAAGTTATTCTTTCTCAATCATGATCTAACATGCATAACAAAATCGCCCTTTTTTGGATTCCCCATATTTTTTCTATTCTTGAATTGCCTGTATTGAAGTATCATGTTCTTCCATGTTTGGTTTCTTGAATTAACCTTATCCATGTTAGAATTAAAACTGAAATTTTCAATGTGCTTTGCGGGAACCCTTGGAATTGGTGAAGAGAATTTAACTTTGTCGGGAGATTTCTAGCATATACTGTATAGGCATCTGTACTGCAGCAGCAATTTCTGGGTTGCGCCGCCAATGCGCTGCCGAAAAATTCCCCGAAAACCACCATTTGAATTCACAGATCTCAACGCCAATTAAATATAGCTCAAGCCTTTGGTGGTTGTAAAAAGGGCCGATTCGGCCCTTGATATTGAGGTAGCGAACTTCTATATAACAGTGCTTATTTTTGTTATGAAATCGGTTTTTTCTTCTAGTTGTTTATGTGAAAGAGTGGTTTTTACTTCTCTTCAGCTTTACACCAGTGCCAAGTAAGAATACGGAGAATTTAGAAGAGTATTCGACTTTGTGGAGGGGGGTTGGTTCATTTATATATAAGTTTAAAGGGACTTTTGACTGTTGAGAGGTGATACAGAGGCCACAATCAAAGGAGGGTCGGTGATATTGTTGGGATTTGCTGTTTTAACTTTGATTAATTCAAGGTACACTGCAAGCATTTCAACCCCTTTGGTCTCTCTGTTTTGCATGGTTTTGTATTATTTTATAGCTTCTTGCCGTGTTGGGATATCAACGTATCTTATTTAGTATGAGATTTGAGATTGGTGCCTAGTACATAGACATGCTTGTTGGATTATATGCTTATATTAAATCAAGTTTTAAGGGAAGCGTAACGTGAGCATATTGCCCAGGTTTTGCATAGTTCAGGGAGTGAGACTCAATAAGTGAATGTGGGAATTTGAGTTGTAACATAAAGGGTTGGAGTGTTCATTTTGAAAAGATACTAAGGAGTAAGAGGATAGTTTATGGTTTAATGTGAATTCTGACATCTACGGCTTTGTAAGACATGCCGAGTGTTGATGAAAAAGAAGAAGTTTTCTTTGATACCGCAATTTACTTGTCATCCGAAGAGTCTGTTGCAGAGGAAAAAAATCTGGCATTTTATGATTTAGGGTACAAGATTTGGTTGAGTGAGCCACAGTGTGTCAAGGAAAGAAGGGAAAATTTCTTGCAAAGAATGGGTTTTTCTGATTGGGCATCCCCGGGTGAATTAGAGGCAATGCGGTTGGAAAGAGTTATGGAATCTAGTGGAGCTGTTTCCAGTTCGTGCTGTTTATCCACTTGTAGTACAGGTGACAATTTGGAATGTGACAGACAGGAATTGAATGGTGAAGCAAATTGTTCAGTTGATGATTCTGACCAGGATTGGTTGGATGATATGACCATTGGTGCAGAGAGGGACATCAATGAGGATTACCTCTCTGTGGAACAATGTGATAATGAAGAAATGCAGCCTTGTCTAGAAGATTGCAAGTACGTGGATAAGAAAAAGAGGAAAATGATGCGCTGGTGGAAACACTTCTCACAGACATTGAGGAAAAACAGAGGTATCAAAGTATCAAAAGAACCAAAATTAGGTACTGAAGCAGGAAAGGCTGCTTGGGTGCTGATGGAACAAAATAAGAAAACGGGTATGGAATGTTCTGCTGTCTATGTTGGACAAGAAATTAGCGCACACAATGGCCTAATCCGGATAATGAAGTTTAGTCCTGATGGCCAATATTTGGCTAGTGGAGGTGAAGATGGGATTGTTTGCATATGGCATGTTAATTCCATAGATGCCTCTACCAGTACTGCAGAATGCAAGTTTGGTAGCCAGGACATGGAAGGTCCATCTAGTTCTCAGAGGAAAAAGTCAAGTCACCCTTCTGTCATCATTCCTCAAAGGATTTTCCACATCGAAGAGGAGCCATTGCACAAGTTTCATGGTCATGCCAGTGATGTTTTAGACCTTGCATGGTCCACAACTGATGTAAGTCAAGTACCTGCTATTAACTGCTTCTGTACGTGTAAACCTTCTTAGTAGCTGATATAGATTTTTGACTGCAGCATCTTCTTTCATCATCAATGGACAAAACTGTTCGTTTATGGCGAGTAGGTTCTGATGAATGTCTTGGCGTTTTCCATCACAGTAATTATGGTATTAAGAAATTGCGATTTACAGATTCTTTGATTTTTCTGATTGCTTTATGTTTTTAATGGTATTGAGCAACCATAATCCCAAGTCCCTTCACAATCTAAAACCAAAAAGAACGTGTTATTTTACGCCATAATGCTAATTAATTTACCTTTGTTTGGCCTTTGGATGATTCAGTAACGTGTGTTCAATTCAATCCTGCGGACGAGAACTACTTTCTCAGTGGCTCCATAGATGGTAAAGTTCGGATATTTGGAGTTAACAAGAGGAGAGTTGTTCATTGGGCTAATGTGCGAGATCTAGTAACAGCAATTTGTTACCAGCCAAATGGAAAAGTAAGATTTATGATGTCAAAGCTGTTCTCTATATCTACTGTTGACACTGTTTCTGAACTAATAGTATATGGCCTTGCACTGGAACAGGGTTTCGTTGTTGGTTCTCTTTCTGGTACCTGCCGGTTCTACGAAACATCAGGTACATAATTTGCTCATCCGTGGTCTCATTTTTAGCATTTTGAAATGTCAGTGCAAGTTCTCATTAGGAGCTTCTAAAACATTTTCTTAATGTACACAGGTGACGAAATTGAGCTAAAAGCAGAAATAAACATTCAGGGTAGAAAGAAATCATCACGCAACAAAATCACTGGCATTCAGGTTTCACTGTTAAAAGTCCTGGTGTTAAACATGTTATCCCCCATTTTCAGTGAAGTTGACATGGACTTCATTCTTTGCAGTTTCTGAAAAATGACTCTCAGAGAGTAATGATAACATCAGAGGACTCCAAAATTCGGATACTTGATGGGCTTGAAGTTGTCTGTAAATATCGAGGTATAGAAACAGTTCTATTTGTAGTTTTTGAGCTATGCTTATCGAGACTTGCTGTTTTATCTTTGACATCTTGCATTTCAAATTACAACACGAGTGCCCGATAATAACGTATCTTATTCCTTATCTTCATTTCTCAGCATCACTTTTTCCTTTGTCTCATGATATCTTTTTGCTCTAAACTAAAAAAATTCAGTAATTTGAGAGCAGGTGAATCTCCATACAGAACTAGGGCATCATGGATTAAAATAGCATTTCACAGTTCCGAATACAAACTTTTTCTTGCTAAACTGAGGAACAAAGTTTGTTTTTACTTGTTCAGGTTCTCTGCCTGTTTATTCCTTATGTAGATTAACGAATTGATGTATTCACGTAGAAATTTCTATTTCAGTATGTCTGTTGTCTATGCCTATGATCTTGTTTATAAATTTTTGACCTTTTCTAAATTTAGTTTAACTCGTAAAACTCTATTTGCGTCTATTTACTATTAACAAAACATTTAACAATTACAATTATTAGGTTTGTGGGATCACTACATTTTCTTAAAAATGATTTCTCTTGAGCATAATAGGTCTAGCGAAGTCAGGAAGTCAGATGTCAGCTTCTTTTACTTCTAGTGAGAGACACATAATATCAGTTGGGGAGGACTCACGTATATATGTGTGGAATTATGATGATTTGTGCATCCACACACCCAAACAAGCCAAATCCACCCGATCCTGCGAGCATCTTTTCTTCGAGGGTGTGTCCGTTGCACTACCTTGGTCAGGTTTGGCAATAGAACAAAATAGTTTTGCTTGTGGCAGTTCGCAGTCTGATGTACAAACAATTGATCACCAAGAAGCATCCTCAAGGTTTCGGGATTCAGAACGTTTCTCCCTTGCAAATTGGTTCTCAACAGATGTCTCATCTCGAGCCTCCACAACATGGCCGGAGGAAATACTTCCTTCATGTGAGTTACAATCTGTTGAACATGATTGTCAGCCATGTAGTATTTATGGCGATCATCTTCATCAGCAGCTGCAGCACAAGAATAACAGCCATGGATACAGAAATCTATCCGCAACATGGGGTCTTGTGATTGTAGCAGCTGGTTCGGATGGAATGATCAGGACATTCAACAATTATGGATTGGCAGTCAGGATTTAGGAGTTCGATAATGCGCCACATTGAAGCTTTTCATACGAATTCAGAAAATTCTGAATTGACAGGTGGAGTATTCCGTCCAGGCGAAAATTTGCAGCAGAAATTGTTATTTATCAAGCCTTGTAAAATATACTCTTGTTTTCCATGCCTATTGTTTTCACTTGCAGTTTCAGTTTCAGCAGAAGGTCAAGACTCTCAGCCTCTTGTTCTCTTTTCCGGTTTTCCCCCCTCAGTTATTCATATTAGATTAGATCAGGAAACAACAGGAAGTATAGATTTTTTGTTCCTTTATTTCTTTTTTCAAATGGATCACACTTTGAAATGTAAATGACATTGACAGCAAAAATGGTAGAATTCAGAATTGGATTTTTTGCATGCCATTATGTATGGTTGAATTGGTCCTTCATCTTTTGTCAAAGTAATCCCATCTCTTGGAGCTCCAAGAAACGACGCCCTATAGCTAAGTTGTATATTGAGTTTGATGAATATAGTGCTGTTGCACCCTCATACATTGGTCACAGGAACGTGTTCATGGATTTTATATTCATCATGCTGAGTTCGATGATTATAGTATTGAGATAATGATTAGTACTTTTCAAATATTGCTTGTAAAAGAAGAAGGGTCGGACGAGAATATGATCGATTCAGGCATGAAAGGATGCACAGGTGCATTGCCTGCAGAACGTTTTTTTTTTCCCATATTCAAGCCATTGGTGTCATCATCATCATTTTCTTCTTACTTTGACAAGTTGGTGGATTTTGTTCTCCAGATTCCTTCATCTACTTCGATTAAAACTGTTAATTTACTATAATGGAGACTGGATCCACTTTGGCGACAATCAAACCCATGAATCAAGATTTGATAAGGCTTGATTGCACTAACTTCATGCATTGGCAAGATAAGATTTAATTCCCATTGACAGTGATGAAATTTTCTTACGTTCTTGATACGCATTAGGCAAGATGGTGAACTTATCTACCGGGGTCACACATTGAATGCACTATCCAACCGTTTGTTTGTATGATCTCTGTTACGCTCCGATTATATACGTCTCGGATACCGAAGTGTCATCTCACCTCCGAGGCCGAGATCAAGTGGACCCCCCGCAGCACCATTTATTCCGACCTGAAAACGACCCTTCAGAAGCTTCTCCGAAGTAATATAGCGATTCCTACTACTGATCTGTCGAAGCATCTCACCTCCGAGGTCGAGATCAAGTGGACCCCGGTTAGAAGATCCGCCGCCAATTTGAGATTTGTCCTACACCTAAGGCTTAAATTGATTTGACGTCTCCATGAGGTTAGTTGATGTGACTTATCAACTTTATGTCAATTCAACTCAGAGGAAACAAACTGTCCGCCCATTCTACAAACGCGGCTGATTGACGCCTATGAGCAGACGTTTCATACCGTCAGATGTATACACGCATTCCACATCCAACGGTTCATACCACCTATAAATACCTAAGGTTTGGTAAGAGGGAAAGGTAATGAAAATCTTAATACACAGCACTCCATAACAAGTTTATATATTTTCCTCCCCCTTTATTGATTGATTTGCATATCCCCTGGGTACTGTTCCGATCACCCAAACCTGACTTAACCGTCGGAGTGTATACGACCGCCACCACCCCCGTTGATTCCGACCGTGTGCGCCTGACCATTTGCTGATTGTGCGCAGGGAGGAATACGTGGAGTAACTTTCAATTGTTTACGTGGGAGGACCAATTTCCGAGGTCAACAGATTGGCGCCGTCTGTGGGAAGGTATTCCCCATTCGAAGTTTTGCGTTCTCCATCGGAGAAGGTACCGAAAAACCGTCGACTAACCCTGAAAAGGGGGCATTCTTGAAAAAGAACAAAGTCGAGTTACAATCCAAGTTCTTACTACCCTTGAAAAAAGAGGTAGAATGAGCTACAGCCATGAAGACGACAGTCCCATGAGAGAGGCCTCTGAAGAAGAGGTACTACATAACAATGTTACTCATCAGAGACCGCATCATTGGCATCGCCGAGGTGGAAGAACAGTCGTACTCATTGAAGGAATGGCTCAAATAGTTGCGGGTATGAGAGATATAGCAGCTCAGAATATGGCGATGCAGGAACTCCTCATGCAAGCCCAGGGACACCAGAGCTATCAAAGGCCCCAAGATTCTTATCCGGTGCAGGAAATCCCTTTATCTCACTCTCGGGGCCACATGAGCTGGCACACAGAATGCCCCCTCGAAAGGGATCTACGCCGAAGCAACATCTTATGTACAGGGGAGTCAGCCATCAGAACCACGCTTGGGGGACACCTTCCCTCAAGAACACGACGACCAAAGGTCGGTAAGCGTCTTCGACCGGATAGGGGAGGATCCTAGCAATAGGGTCCGCCCGGCAAGAGGATCAGTTCGTCCGAATCGCGAACAAGAACATGTTCCCCCTCCTCCTCCGAGAAATAGGAGGGAAAGGAGAAACCTAGTCGATTGGAGGAGTCGAGGAGAAGCACCTCCACCACCCCAGGACATCCAAGATGATGAAGGGTCAGAGGGGCCCTGTCGATCTTATGAGATTGACGATGATGATGATAACCTTCCTTTCTCAAGGGAGATTCGAAGCTTCCCAATGCCAACTAACTTCATGCCCCCTAAGATCCCCAAGTATGAGGAAAAGGGGGATCCGGAGAAGCACCTTACAAAGTATATGACACAAATGAGCCTTAGGGGAGCCTCGCTTGCTCTAAAATGCAGAGCCTTCCATTTAACACTAGACGGGGCCGTCCAGGTATGGTACAGCAGGCTTCCTTCCCTAAGCATCAGAAGTTGGCCAGACTTGAAGAAAGCATTTTTGAACCAGTACCTCTCAAGCAGGGAAGGAGAGGCGCCAATTCAACGCTTGCAACACATGAGGCAGGCCCCTGGGGAGATGCTAAAAAACTATCTCGCCAGGTTTACCGACGAAATTACTTACTGCGAACAGGTCACTGACAGGGAAGCCCTTTCAGCCCTGAAAGGTGGGCTCAACATGAACACTTTGTTCTGGAGGGACGTGCGCAGCAAGAATCCCTCCACATATGACGAGCTGGTGGAGATGATGAGAGTGGAAATTGTTAGTGAAGAAATGATCGATCATCGCAATCGTGCCGCGCAGGGACTCCCTCCTTCTCAGAGGCAGGTAGGTCGAGGCCCCGCAGCACATCTTGTTACTCAGCAATGGACCCAAGCGGGGCACACCGTAGCTCCCACATTCGGACAGGCCCTAGCTTCCGCCACATTGAATGTAGTACCGGTGTAGGCATATGATAATGCCCCTGCTGAAGTAGGACCATCTGGAAGAATTGATAACAATAAGAAGAAGAAAAGGAGGTCAAACAAACCATTGGCAGGAGCAAGGTTTTGTACATTCCATCAACTATACGGACATGACACTAGTGAGTGTCGTGATGCCAATCGGCGCCCCGATCGAAGCAACCCTCACCCTTCCAGCAAAAACGAACGCCCTCGTAGGTCCACCTCCTCGAGGAGGGGAGGGAGAGGTCATCAGGAACAATCTCCTCGTAGAAGAGAATCGAGGAACCGAGGTCAATCCAGACAGGGGAACCAAACCCAATTTTTGGGAGGCCAGGTCATCAGGGAAATCAATACCATCATTGGGGGACCCCACATCGGTGGCAACACCAGGAATGCCTAGAGAAATTACACAAGAGAAGCAAAGGATTCCCCGATAATCACTTACATTGTTAACGAATCAAAATCAGCAAACAAGATGGCCCGATCACCTTCTCTCAGGAAGACTCAGAGGGAGTTCACCACCCCCATTGCGATGCTTTGGTTGTAAGAGTCGTAGTAGCTAGAAACGGATTAAAACGCATGCTCATTGATAATGGCAGTTCCGTGAACATATTGTTCAGTTCCACTTTTGACAAAATGCAAATTGAATATGGGTTGATCCCCATGACCGACCCACTGTTCGGATTTACTGGGGACAGCATCATCCTACGAGGGCGGATCACCCTGCCTGTCAACATGGGTTTGGCACCCCTAGTAGCCCAGCATTTCATGGAATTTCTGGTGGTAGATCATAGGTTGGCTTATCATGGAGTATTGGGCAGACCCACTCTGAAAGATCTTTGGGCTGTGACGTCCATTCACTATTTGTGCATGAAATTTCCAACCGAACATGGGATTGCACCAGTCCGGGGCGATCAGATGGGCTTCAGGGCATGCTACCTAAACTCGCTGCGCAAATTCGAGCCCCGAACTGTTAATGTGATCCAAGCCGAGGTACTCGCTAAAGTCGGTACGGACGTGAAAATGCTCGACACCCCTGAACAAGGGCATACCTCTAGACGTCGACATGGAAGAGGCCCCTGAACAAGGACACCTTATTGATGAGTTAGACCCCCGAATAATTGATTATGAACCAAATGCGACCCCCATGGAAGAATTGGAAACTTTCCCCGTCAACCCGGAAGACCCCAATCAAGTCTTGAGTATAGGGAAGTCATTATCACCTGAAGCAAAAACTGAGATGATACGTTTCCTGAAAGGGAACCTGGATGTCTTCGCATGGAAACATGAAGATATAGTGGGAATAGATCCTAAGATCAGTTGCCATCACCTTAACATCAACCCCTCCTATGTTCCCCATAGACAGAAGAGGCGTGCCCTAAACCCAGAACGGTACGAGGCACTGAAAGACGAAGTAAGCAAACTTAGCCGCAGTAGTTTCATCAGAGAGGCCATATATCCGAGGTGGATATCCAACCCGGTTCCAGTGAAAAAGTCCAGCGGAAAGTGGAGGGTATGCGTGGACTTCACAAACCTAAATAAGGCGTGCCCCAAAGACAGCTTCCCACTTCCGAGAATTGATCAACTTGTGGACTCTACTGTTGGGCATGAACTACTGAGTTTCATGGATGCACACTCAGGGTACAACCAGATACCCATGTTCCGACCTAACGAGGAAGCTACATCATTCATTACGGACAAGGGCCTGTATTGCTACAAAGTTATGCCCTTCGGATTGAAAAATGCCGGGGCCACATACCAGAGGTTAGTCAACATGATGTTTGTCGAACTCATCGGCAAAACCATGGAGGTCTACGTCGACGACATGTTGGTCAAAAGCCTCCAGGCAACCGAACACGTGAGTCACATCGACCAAACCTTCCAGATACTTAGAAAGTATAATATGAAATTGAATCCCCTCAAGTGAACATTTGGGGTGGCATCAGGCCAGTTCTTGGGGTATATTGTGAATCAGAGAGAAATTGAGGCAAATTCGGTGAAAGTAACGGCCTTACTAGAAATGAGGTCACCTCAGAAACCAAAGGAGGTCTAGAGTCTCAATGGTCGGATAGCCGCACTCAGCCGCTTCATCTCTAGAGCCACTGATAAAAGCTTGCCTTTCTTCAATGTACTGAA